TAACAGCCAGATAATGAAATTATTTTCCAAATAATTTCCGTTATTAGCTGCTTCGCATCCAATAACTCTATATTATTGGTTCAAATTCTATGTAATCTCATCATTCAATTTATCTAATCCGCCCATATCATTTATGTGCGGAGGTCATTGGAAAACATCGGATGATCTAACGAAGACATCAGAATATCAATCCCGTCAGGCTAATAGCTAATTTTAGAGATTAATACATAACATCAATGAATATATTGGGAAACCTATACAACCCAACTAACATTCCTAAAAAGTCACACTAATGTTACGAATTGGCCACTCATGTTTAAGGGTTATAATTTTAAGAAACTGACCAATCAGAAAATATCTTCCGATTATTAGCCTTTAAAAATTCTATTGTTTTTTTTTAAATTGTACCTTTACAAATAAGTACAAGCCCTCAAAAAAAAGCGTAACTTTGTAGTCCTTATAAGTTATTCAGGGCACGAAGTTACTTTTTTTGTTTGTGAACTTACAATACTTATTGAAAAGATATAGTTTTGAAGATTTTTAGCCATGTACTACGTATACAGTATATACAATTTAAACCTAATTTCAATTTAAGTGAATACTAATTATATATATATAGTAATTTATTTAGTAATTAATAATAGATAAGTAATTTATAATAAAAAAATTGTAGATGTATAATACTATATAGTTTGCAAAAAAAAAAAAAAAAACAGTATAATCAGAGTTGGTTAAATCTGTTAACCAAGTCAATGGTCAGAGGGGTCAAATAGTCTGGTTTATTAATTAAATAAATTTGTTATACAAAAAATTAATATATTATATAGTAAAAGTCATAACTAATTACTGTACTAGTAATAAATTATAGATTATAATAGTAAAAAAATTAATAGTATAAAAATTTCTTTTTAGACAGATTTTTTAAATAAAAAAATTTTTTTAATCTCTAATACAAACAATTGCTAGTTTCTAAAAATTACTTTCTTTTTATTTGCAAATCTAAAAGCTAATAGATTTTATTTATTAATCTATAAAAAAATAAAAATATTTAACTACGGAATAACCATTTTAGATACTTTAAAAAAAGTAATATCATACTGCTAATGAATTTAAACTGTATAAAACATGATTAAGCAGTTCTTTAAATTTTTGTTATTGAATAAACAAAAATTTCAGTACTACTGTAAGTCACTAGAATTCAGAATCACATATACAAGTTAACTTTTTGCTTTATTGATTAAATCCCTACGTAACATAATTAGGTCATCGATGAGCTTGAATAAGACATTTGCAAGGCTTGATTAATTGCTGACGTTATGAAGAGTAATATATATATAATAATAATATTGTCCTCATGTTTTAAATATCGACGTTGAAATTCTTTATCATGACTAAAGTTTCTGGCCGCATAAACAAAAAAAACGCGATGACCGTTAAAGAAATTGAACAAATGGCAGAAAAAGAACGGTTTGCAGACGAATATCAAAGGAGACATTTCGTAGATTTAGTCACCCAATGGAATACTAGTGATTTATTATTAAAAAATTTTCTCCTTCATTTTTTTTTTTCGCAACCATTTAATTATATATTACAAATATAACAAAAGGATACGAAGATTATATGAAAGAAGGAAAAAATAGCTGGATTGGAGTTGATTTAAAAGAAATCCGCTTTTTTCCTAACGGAAGGTCGATTTTTAGTCGTCCAATTGATCGCAGGAATCGTATTTCTTTAATATTCCGGTACAACATAAATGCCATTTGCCTTGGCTTGGATTATATGCATTATGAAGTTGTTATTCCTTTGCACGAAATTCTCGGATTGAATCGTATCAAAGAATTGGAAATCGAAGTTTTTT